CCGTCATGCTGTAATTCTGCATTCATCAAGAACGTTTTGGAACAAAGTCAAACTTATTGTAATATTTCTGCTCCATTTTAGCATTACCATGTATTATGAGCCACATTCCAGCCTTGTTTAATAATGCAAATTATCAAGTGAGATACGAAGAGGAAAAATACAAGTTATTTAACACTCCTTCCCCTATAGGACACCTTTAAACTCATGCAAAACTGCACACACACAAAGCACAAGCTGTATACATTTCTGAATTCCAGCAAACCTGTTTCTAAGTTCAAAATATGTGACCCTGAGCTGCCTTTTCATAAAGCCTCACTGGGAAGTTCTAATTGTGCTTTGAGTTCACAGATGTGGCTAAGCCACTTCTCATTAAACTTTCTAGAATTCCATGAACCCTTTGACATGTATTTTCACATGTAAATATAAACACTGTCGAGCTTGTGAAACTTTGGTTCATTCTCCTCCAGAGAACAAGGATCAACCAACCACAAAAGGAAGCAGCCAGTTGTTTTTGTTTAATAATGTACGGGCTCAATCCCATACAAAATATTGGACTCTGCTGTAAGAACCAGTAACTTTGGCTGTTTCACTCAGCAGAAAAACATCAGGACTTCACTATTAATGCCACATTTTTAGATAATATGGGTCAAGAAAGAGGAAGCAGTGATCAAAAAAATCCCAAGGAAGTGTTGAGTATCTTTTTATTGAAAGACAACAAACACAAGTGAGCCATTAATAGTGGCAAAGATGAGGAGGGAAGAAGCTGGGGGGAGGGTGGAGGGGATTTCAATCAACCTTTTCATGTTTTATTCATTCTTAAGTAAGAAAGCCTTTCCCTCTGGCCAGGTTTTGCTTTACTAACATAACCAGACAACAGGCATTGCATACACCCACTGTCAGATTGCTGCCTTGATTATTATTTCAGTTGTGACACGAGGACAGACAATCCAAGAACTAATAAAGTGGAATTTTCTGTCTGCAGGTAGACAAAGCAGCTGCTGCAAGCCAGAGATATTGAATCTGTGGCCCACCTGGAAAATTCATCCTACTGGCAATCTACTTCTACCAGCTTTTGACCACTAAGAAGTTCCCTGTTGAGCCACATGATGATAATGGAATATTGAGTGCACTGAATTTATGGAAAAGGTCCAGCCATGCTGTCAGGTCCCTTCTTGCTTTTAAAATAAGTGACTCCACCACAGTGCTGGAACTATTTCCAAATTGAGCATCTGCAGTAAATGCTGATTTGTAGCATGAATCTTTATTAAATATTAATTAAACTCTAATACAGGAAGGCTTAGTAAGTAGAAAAGCACAGCTTTCAAAGCTGTCAGTGAAATGCAAGAAGTATCTTTTAGAGCACAGAGAAGTGTGTGCTATGAAATGTTAATTATTGCTCTTCTGTCAGGTGGTTGGCAGAGATTATTGCTAAGAACTACAAATCACCAGAGACAATTTCCAGATTTATCCAACACCAAGAGCTCCAAGATAACCTGCAAAGTCCAGCATGTATCAGGAAGTCATACAGACACAGCTGTCCAGAATCACTGTGGCTTTTTCAGTTCTTTATCTACATCAGGACAATCCAGCCTTATCATCCACAGGCCCTTCCTTTTGGCAGCAGTCTCCTCACCAGTCACTCGAAATTTGCTGCCTGCTTCCTAAGTGAACAACCACGTGAAGGGGTGGAAACATCTTGGCTTTGGCTTTTTGGTAGGTCAGAACAAAATACTTCAGGCAGAACAGAATACTTCGCAGGCTGAGAGACTAAAGCAGTGATTTAACAGATGAGGACGTGAACTCAGCTCTTTGACTTACAGTCAGCAACAGTCCTTAAAAATGACTTGCATAAATATTTGTGCAATTAATCCAACCTTAAAATCCATTCAGAACTTTTAACTCACACAGTCCAGTAAACATTTCCAGTGAAAAGAAGGGCTGCACGATCAAACCTCTGTCACATTTACAAGCACAATTTGGACTTGGATATCCTGTCGGATTAGTTTTAATCTACATCTTTTTCCACTTACTTCAACATCAAAACAGCCAGTTATATTAATTTGTTTGCTTGTTTTCTTCCTGTACCTGTCACTGTGATCTGCACTTACTGAACAATTATCCTTTTTTATTTGTTTTTTTACTCTTGGCCAGAAAGAGCAAGTCTTCCAGAACACATGTATTTAAAGTTTATATCAGTATACCCATAAAAGTGTAGTTTGATCACCTGTCATTTATGCAGAAGATAACACTGAGGAAGCAAATATTGATCTTTTAAAAAGTAGGTTTTTTCATGATCATGCTCTCTGTGTACTCTCTCACTCCCACCACACTCTCTGGGGTATATATCTGAAATTTCACGCATACCATAAAGTATCCTTGGAATGTTACAGTATAATTGTTTAGAGAAACATTTAATGGATGAGTAAGCATCAAGAGGCCAGGGCTAAGGGAAAAGTTAAAATGCTGGCAGCATTTTGTACTGAAAGATCTTCTCAGCATGAGGACTGGGGGTGGACATTTGATCCAAAAATCTGGTATTGATTCAAGCAGTTTAAACCCAGCATCCAGCACAGAGGTGTCTGGAGGCACCTCCCTGAACATCTGCCTCCAAACACAGCTCCCAAACCTGGCTTTGGGCACTGCCCAGCACAGCAATCCAGAGACACAGGATATTATCTGATCAATAACATAAACATTATGATAAGAGGTGACATGATCTTGACAATTGGCACTTTATCCTTTCCGAATTGGTCGTCTGGTTTCCCAATTTCCAGCAGAAATAATCTGTATGTGCATGGTGTGGAAATGCAGCAGAAGTGGCTGGAAAGAGCTGAGCACCAAGTGCAGAAACAGCTAAAAAAAGCTAAATGTGTTTTCACTACAGGAATCTGCTGCAGACAACGTGCTGTAAATTAAAGCAAATTTTCCTGAATTCTCTGAAGGACTGCTCCTCTTGGAGATTCTACAAATCCATTAGCACAGGTCCATCATTATAGTTTTTAGGGGTTTGTGTACTGAAAAGAGTTTAAAAAAAATACACACAAAATAGAGCATATGATATATCAGGGTAAAGGAGTGATAATTGATAACTGAGTATTAGAGTACAGCTGAGAAGGTTTTTACTCCCAATTCTTCCTCTGCCCCATACTGTTTTAAGTAAGAAAAAGCAAAATATTTATCCCTCTACCTGAATTTCTAATCAGAAGATTACAAAAGCAGAAGTGCCACATGCTCACACAAACCAAGCAGCACTTTTAGCTCTGAAGCTGGAAAAGCCAAGCTGCCCCAGGTTTGTGTCACAGCTGAAGATTGTCTGATAACTGGGGCACCTAAAATCTCCCTCCAAAGGGATTCTGTGGTGGTTAACAACATATAAATTGTAGCTGGTGCAGCATGATTTCTCCAAAACTTCAGACACTCACAGGATTCTCAGAAATCTATTGTCTTTGAGGAACTTCTGTTTCTGCATTAAACTTAGTGGAGAACAGGTAGCATGTTAAAATATGAGGAACACAGAAATAGCGTGACTCTATAAAGCTCATCCTGTTAATCTCATAGGTAAGTACCACAAGTTCTGCTAGTTTCAAACCCAATGGATGATCCAAAATTGCTAATCTACCTGTAAATTGTGTGACTCTAAATTATATGTAAAAATAATGCCTTTATTAAGGCTTTAAGAGGTATTTCTAGCATGTAAGATTGCAAGGGACTTCCCAGGTCATCATATTTGCATCCTACTGTTGGAAACACAATATTAAACAATCTCTTCCAGAGCACACTGATTCCCACCTTAAATGAGGAGGTTTTTTTTTTGCATAATCTCAAAATTGAGGTATTTGGTTTTATTTTCCACTTAATTCATCAAATAACCAGTGGCCATTTAAATGAAAAACTTCAGATTGTGTAGGACAAGTTTTTACATCCTCAAGCTTTTCTTTCTTTCCACCAGCACAGTGATCCAGATGCTGTTGTCAGATAAATACATTGGTTCAAATCTGTATTTATTCTAATGCCACACTCACAGGCAAATCCAGATATTCCTTGGGTAACTTTTTCTGTAATTTCCCTTGGTGAATTACAGGGAGCTGTAAAACCACTGGTGATTTTAAAACAAGGTCTAGATCACTCCTCATGTTACAATGACCATTGCAGGGCCTGTTAGTGTTTTTTTGGAGTTAGGGGAACACAACACAATTTATAATGAAGTCTAACAAATAAGGATATGTTAATCTTTTCAACCACTTAAATCCAGGGAAATCAAAACCAAATGTCTCTCTAACACAGCATCCCAAAACCCAAGCCCAAATACTTGGATCCTAAAGCCTGCTGGGATGTTTTCTGCAAGCCATCCATTAGATTTCTTATATTCTGTACAACTTTCCTCCACAAGCTGGATTGATTTCTTCCACAGCTTAACTTGATTTTGCCAAAGTCTCTTTTAGTCTCTATTTTAGTTCAGCATTGGCCTCCTGCCTAATGAAACAAGCATTCTTTATGCCAAAACTCTCATCTTCAGTTGCACAAGATGCATCTCACTTACAAACAATGTATAATGAGCCTGATGTTTAGTGCCTGAAGAACTGCTGCTTTAAAATGATCCTAAGCCAAACTTAGATACAGGAATGGTCAGTACCTTGGGTGGGAGAAGAATCATTCTCAAGGAAGATTTTTTTTTCCTTTTGTATTCAAATCCACTTTTTGAAAAGAAAAGCATAATTTTAGAACATGAAAGCATATGTAGTTAGCACAGGCAGCAGTGAGACATGCAGGGATCACTCCAAACCTGAAAGCTTCATTCTCACATAATGTGAGGTCATTGTTCTGTAATGATCACGTGCACCATCACCTTGGCTTCTCTTGAACAAACTATGTTTAAATATGAGAACCTGATAACCTTAATAAACTATCAAGTATTGCTTATGACTGAAAAAAATACATCCAAATAAACCTCTTACTCTATTTCCCTGCTGTAATTTCAGACACAGCTGAAACAAAGATACCTGTGTAAGAAGTTGCTCCTGGGTTAGGTTATTGATCCAGCGAGTGTATCGTTCAGTAGAGTCCAGTGGCTCTCTTCTGACTTGGCAACCAATAATCTAAAGCAAAATGACAGAAATCCCCTAGGTTAAACTGCTGGACACCCATGTGGCAGCAAAACAGTATCACAAAATAAACACTCAAAACATGGCAACTCCAAGAATTAAGATTATCTATACAGTCCTCACTAGCCCCCTTCATAAGGGAGCTAGTACCTTACTGTTCATAAGGTAATATGGTACAGTTGCTCTGTTCAAACGTTAAATAGGTACAGACTTTAAAGGTCTCTAGAAAACACTGAGAGCATTTTTCCAATAACCTCATTCTTGGGACTATTTGAACCATTTTGGTTGAAATTTTCGAAGGAAATTTTCCATAGGCAGACATTTAGAATGCAAAATTTCAACCAAAAGTTACTCCAGCAAATGAAAGTTGGAACTTGAGTAACACCAGACAATCCTGCCAACAGTCCCATAACCTGTAATACCCCCATTACTTTTAATTAATATAAGCAAAATCCCCTGCATATTCTGATTTGTTTTGTTCATGGAAGAACAATATAGATACATCATTTTAATTTGGTCACTGAAGCACTGTACACTCATTTGAGTAAGATCTCATTATCTAATACTGTTCTGTAGCTGTATGGGTTCAAAATGAATTTTAATATTATTATTCCAGTAGGTGTTGAGAAAACTTCCACTACGTATCAGAGAATATCAGCAGGATTAGATATTCAGGATTAGATATTACCTGTATCTGCAGAGACACACATTAATGCAATTTCATAGGAACGCTAAACTGTTAACAAATCTCTGATCAGACAAGGAAAAAGCTGAGGAGAACCCCAGGAGCGTGACTGGACAGAACTCTGCTGTTTGCTCCTCCCGAAGTCTGCAGTCTATACAAAACCTTCAGGGTACCAAGGACTTAATTATTTATGCAAAGTAAGCTGATCCTGTTTTATACCAACTACTGCACTGCCATCATACTGTAACTCTCCATTTCTCCTCCTGGTTTTGATGGTGCTTCCCACTGAGGATGTGTTTGTCCACTGAGAACTAACACCACAGGGTTTCAGTGTTTTTGAATACTAATTTCTGATAATTCTGTTCAAGAACAGGTGGGAAACTTCCTTGGTTTATTTTCCACCCTAAGCATTCATAAATCTTCCAGGTATGTTTGCAGAGCTTTAAACTGCAGAGAGATGTGAGCAGTCAGGCCAGAGCTCTGCATGTGCAGTTGTGAATACTTTTGATGTGGGAACAAAAACAACATGAGAAGATCTTGCTGGGGACTGCTGGCAATGAAACATCATAATTTAGAGTATGATTGAATACAATCAAAATAACAAGCATGGAGAAAAAGAAAATGTTATTTGCTTATCCCATAAGAATAAACCAGAATGTCTCTGAACTAGGAAATGTTTCCTCAATGACAACAACAAATTACTGTGGAGAACTTCAATCCTCACCCCAATTTAACCCTCATATTACAGCTAAGTCACACTAAGATATTTTCAGAAGGTTAACCTAAAATTCTTTTAAACTGAGTATCAATTAGAAGATCTCACAGAGATGTTTTTACAGCACATCACAGAGATAAAAACATGCAAAAGTCATGTCAGATGTATGTCTACACTGTGCTGCAAGGATGATTTTTATTTAAAAATAGAACTCTTTCCAGTATTCATTAATCAAGCCTTCATTAGCCTTCCCTTGCATATCCTAGGTTTTTTTAACTTACAAAGATACTTTACAAATCTCTGCATAAAAGCTAAAAGGGAAAAAATACCTTTAGTTTCTATGTCAACCTATTCTATAACAGCACAAGATGGAAACTTAGTTTCTTTATTTAAAGAGTCACATTGAAGCTGAATAGATACAGAATATATACAGCTTTCAGACGGCAAGAGATTAAAAAGGAGAGTTTCAAACTTTTTTCTGAAAACCTGGTTTTCATTTAGAGCCAAGTAGGAAGTGCAGTCATCTCTTTCCTGGCAGCTTGAAATTTAAATTACAAGCAGAGGACTGAGTTTCATATTTTTATATTAATTTCTGAGCAGACTGATAATTTCATAAATGCTGTTGGTAATTTAAACAAACTAAAGTAAATGTTGAATCCAGGTGCTCAGCTAAAGGACTGTAATTCCCTGAAGTCCAAAGAACAACTAGTTCAAATCCCAACTCCTCACACTTGAAGAGAAAACTGAACAGGTTTCATCAATTATCTGTACATACACAAGGAGAGGTGAAGGCAGACAGAAGAAGTGCTATTAAATTGGATCCTGACATGTATTTTCTGGATTATGCATCACTGTTTGCAATTTCTTGAGTTTGACTTCAAGTCTTAGCCAAAATTCCCTCCTTTTTCCATCTAGCCCCACAGATAATTCCATTGCATTTATTTCTCGGAATTTTGGCTCATAACACTGGTCTTTGAGCCTTTTGGAATTGAAAAAAAATGATGAAAAAATCCTTATCAAATAAAGTCATTATTTAGGAATTACTGGTATTTCAGTGAGAAAAAGCAATGGGTTACATTGAATTTAGCCATAATTTGGAGCACAATCTTTGGAAATGTAATTTTGCAACACAACAGGAACAAAGTTAACGTGCTGTAGGAAGTGCTGTTTGCTTTCCCCTCTGCCCTAAGAGCTGCTTTATTTTCATTTTCAGAACCAGCACCACTCAAGGCCACTTTTATCATAATTTAAGAAATTTGTTTTACAGACAAATGTGAAAATTGCCACGATGCAATCAAGTTTATTTCTAGATCCTCAGCCAAACAAATCCCACACCTTTCTGTACTCTAGCTGCACCATTCCCCTCCCAATGGGACTCTGACACGTGAATGGGATTTTTGACTTGTGGCTGCAAGATAAACACCACCAAGCTGAGCCTTTGATTCAGCATCTGGAAAGCCCAGCTCATGTAACCAGCTTCTTTCATACAATGAAAATCAGATTATTTAGAGTACAAACAGCTTCCTCCAGCTCCCCTGTGTAAGGTGTGGCAGCACAAGCAACTGCACACTGGTTCCATTTCCTCCATGGCCCTCACAGAGGTTTCATATTCACTTCACTGAATATTTCCTTAGAGCTTTCAAAATGAAATGAAAAGTTTTTCACTGTTGCTTCTCTCGTAACATTTAAAATACTTTGATAAAAAACTTCCTGGCCTATATTACACCTGTTCAGACCTTCCAGAAAGTACTAGAAACTCTGCATTAGAAATATTCTTTTCAGTATTTTGAGTATCTGTTTATATGCAAAAATAGAGTTCATCCAAGTTTCAACTTTTTGATCTTATTAGACAAGTTTGTTTTAATTATTACAAATGCTGTAGAGTGGCATATACCTGTATCTGGATTAAACTATGCAATATATACAATACATGCAATAGGCTTCTTACTCCAACTGGAAACCTGCTGAAATGTAGGATTAATATTCCTTGTGTAGGAAGCAGTAACATGAACAACACATAAAAGAAATTTCTGGCTCATAGCAAAGGACTATGCCAGTCCAGGAAAAAGTAAAACTCTTATCAGGAGAGAAAATCATGACAATCCTTTCTGCTACAACAGCAACGAGGTAATTTGCTTTCTAGACAGACAATTACTTTTTTTAATGTATTAAAGGTAACTTAGAACTCATTTAGCTTTTTATTTAATTGCAACCAGGATTGGTGTCTCTGGAAAAAATACAAAAGAATCTATCCTTTATTGCAGCAAGTAACAGTAGTAGGAAGAACAGAAAGAGCACAAAATAAGGGGTCTATGTTAAGTACCAACAAACAACTACGCTGAAAGGCAACACAAGTAAATTTTAAAAATAAAAATGGCTTAATATGAGCTGTGTGGGAAGAAGTGGCCAAATACAGAACCAGTTTGTGGCCCTATAGTCCTGCCTGGCTTCATCAAAAGCCTCCAGTCCTGACTAGACAGTCTCAGGTCAAAATAACATTATAGGTCTGCATTTAGGCACCCAAATCTCTCTTCTCTAATAACTCTGCCACTTCACACAATTAGGAGTGGAGTTCATGAATTGTAGCTAAATAACATAAGAGATGTTTCTTATTTTCATCATTTTAGGGGTTTATGCTTTCCCTTGCACATTTAAATGGAAAAGGAAGCGGGTGAGAGGAAACAAAGTTGAAATGAGTTGGCAATAATTAAAACCAATGCGTTTTCTGCAGATGTGGTGTTTTTGAATTTTTTAATCACTACAACTTCCTTTACCACAAACAATCTTCCTTATTCAGGAGGCAGCCCATGGGTCAGAACACACCCGTTGTACTCAAGAGGAAATGAGGATGAAAAAATAATTGGTCTTCAATTTTATCCCAATATTTTCCATCCTCATTTAAAAAAAGAGGAAATGAACAAAGGCAAAAGCACAAACTCTCCACAGGGCAGTAGCACTGGATGTACAAACAAGATTATATTCTTCATATAATGTATCTCCTCTTAAGGAACTTTATTATTGAAACAGGCATTGGAAAGATAGGCATTTTAGCATGAAAAAATCCATGGCTTTTCTGTACAAAATAAATGCAACTTTCAAAGGTACAAACAAACAAAGTACAAAACTTCATTCTACACTCTGAGGAAGAGTGTACAGTGTTGTATTTCATTTTAGAAATATGACAGAATGATGTAAACCTCCTTGAAGGGAATGTAATTAAGTACTTAGTGATGCTTTAATTAGAAAAATCATAACATCTGATCCTAGATAATGTTCTGTGAAAAGAAAGATTATCCAAATAACAAGTAAAATAGAGGGGATTATCTCTAGGGCATGACACCTTTTTCCCCAATATGCCTCTTGGTGAGAGCCCACAGATGGAAAAATGCTAAAATAAAAGGCTAATAAGGGTTATTTACCTTATCCTGAATGTTTAAGAGCAGCTTTAGTTAATCAAGCCCACATCTTTTGTGTTAAGGAAAGGTAGATGTCACCTCTGCTGTCTCCAAACCCTATTTCAATTATTTTTATTGTAGTAATTTTATGCAGTAATTTCCTTTAAGCAAGATTTCATGATCACCATTTAATGCAATT